AACGCATCAGAAAGGAGGAAACCCAGTCTTTGGTAATGTCCATGGGTTCCAGACTTCAGGCAGTCATTGCCAGTAAAGGATTCTCAACTAAATATTAAAAATGAACATTTTATTTATGATTATATTCATTTGTCCAATTACATTTGAGCCCCTGAAAATTGAGGGACTGTGTATAAAAATGGTTGCAGTTCCTAAAATTTGTACTTGATATTTATGTTCAACCCCTTGAATTAAAGCTGAAAGTCTGCACTTCAAATTTATTTGGATTGTTTCGTTTTAATTCATGCTGGTGGCATACAGAGCCAAAAGTATGAAAATTGTGCCTGTGTCCAAATATATATGGACCTAACTGTATATGAATATGTAAATATGCTTTTGTTTTTGCAACTAGTGTATCTAATTTTAACAGATTGGGATACAGATAGCTTGATATTAAGCACTAGATGGATTTCAATCCTGCAGGGGTGGGTAGTACATATGACACCACAGCTTCACAAAAAGATGAGGATAATCATAGGTTTTGTTTGGTGGCAGTTTCATAATATTGTTGGGTAGAGAGGTGTGTTTGCTGACTTCAAGCAAACCTGTGGAAGCTCCATCACACTGAAACTGACTAATCAAATTAGGATTTTACCTTTTTAATTGACCCTAATAGACTTGTGTGTTGTGTATTCCTGTCTATGCATTTCCAAAACAAAAAACGATGATGAATCTTCTTTTATATGTTGTAGATACAAAGCAACCATTCATCAGTGTGAAGTATGCAAAAAAGTCTTTAAGGGGAAATCAAGCCTTGAAATGCACTTCAGAACACATTCTGGTAATATTTATTTATATTGTAAAGTATTATCAAGATTATCTCTATGCTATTTAGCCACTTCACCTCAAGCAATTTGAAATTTTTTTTGCACACATGTAAAAATTTGCATTCTTGGCCATAAAATTTATTAAAACACCCAGAGCATTTATGTTGTATGGTGTTTGTACAGCTGTTTATCTAACACATATTTTCAGTAAAAAATATAATAAAATGAATTTTAGTGTGCACAAACACAATATAATACCCAAGTTTTTTGTAAAATATAAAAGATGGGATTGCGTCGAGTAAATAGATACCAAACGTGTCAAGTCTTAAAATTGTGAGTACCTGTGTTATATTGAAAAAAATACTATGATACCTAAAAATCTCCATAGGTGACACTGTAATAGTCTTTACTGTACATCAGTTTAGAATTAACTATAAACTATGGTACTATAATTATCTCATTCTAACATTGCTGGCGATGCCCCGCGTGTGTAGTGCGGTTTACTTACATGTGACCACGCTATGTGCGCGTTTGCATTTGTGGGTGTACAGTTAATTTGTTTTGTTAATACATTCTATTTTTGTTTTAACACATTTTATTATGATTTGTTTTAAAAATGTATTGATTTTTATTTAACTTTTATTGTTTTTCTTTGTTTCTATTAGAAAAGTTTGCAAACAGGTAAATTTTCTCCTTCGCTGATGTGTGTTGATGAGGCTACACTGATGGGCAGCACTGATGGGCACCAATGAGACGGCATTGATAGGCAGCACTTATGGGCACTGATAGGCTGCACTGAAGAGCAGCACTGGTGGGAATTGATGAGGAGGTACTGATGATGCTGCACTGATGGGCACTGATGGGTTGCACTGCTGGGCGGCCTTCTGGGCACTGATGGGTATCACTGCTGGGCACTCTTGGGGCTCCACTGATAATCAGAGCACTGATAATCGGTGCAGATGTCCTCTGTGATACTTGCAGATTATCGGCAGTACTTTCCTCACGCTGTGTCAGTATGAGGAAAGTGCAGCCGATAAACGACAACTGTATTTACTTTGTGATCAGCTGTGTCATTGGACACAGCTGATCACGTGGTAAAAGGCCGCTGTAATTGGCCTTTTACCTTGTCATGTGATCAGCTGTGTCCGTAGGACACAGCGATCACAGACAGTGTAGGGTGCGTGCCGCTGGCGGCACATTTTGGGAGGACATCGTGTGACGCCCTTCCATAACTGGACAACTGTGCTGTAGCTGTCATTCAGCTATAGCCTGGTTGTCAAGTGGTTAAACGTGTGCAAAAAAATGGCACTAGCAGCGAAAGGGTTACAGCATCACCTATGAAGATTTTTAGGTACTGTAGTTTTTTGCACGATCATGGGTGACTTGACCTGTTTGGTATCTATTTGTTCGGCACAACTTCATCATGTATATTTTACCAAAAAATTGGGAAATATATTGTGTGTGCTTGCACTAAAATGAATGCCATTTTTTTTTCCTGAAAATTTGTCTTTGATAAACAGCTGCACAAATATTGTATGACAAAAAAAAATTCCAACTATCATCTTTTTATTCTACAGGGTCTTTGCTTTCAGAAAATATATAATGTTCTGGACGTTTAAGTGATTTTATGGGCAAAAATGAAGATGTCTGCAAACACTGAAAAAAAATAGCTCTAATGTAATTAGCAATAAAGGTCTGCACACCACTATTACCTAAACAAGAACCAATCATATATTATTATTTAGGGCGCTCAAGCTTCTCAACAATGTATGAATCTGTTAGTACAATAGTTTTTAATGTATAGAGTAAGCACACCACGTAGCCAAACTGCTTTAGCTATAAGTATGTATTAGGCATATTCAATACATACAATCACCTAGCAGGTATAGAAAACCAAGTATGTCATCTACCCTCAAGCATAATACAACAAAGATGTACACTTCATTTTTGAATAACAGCAAAGAACATGCATGCATATAAATGTGTTGCTGCTTTAGGAATACATACAGGAATGCAATACCCAGCATAGAGTAAAAAAAGGAAAGCTGAGCCAGACCCTGGTGAAAAGAGAGAGGAAGTGGGAAAAAAAAAACATTTTGGGGAGAACCTCTTACCTAATATCCCACTGGAGCACATCTCTTACATACATTGGTAGCCATTGCCAGCTTCTTCCCCCAGCCGGCTGTATTTGACATCACTTCTGGATCCTGTTTCTGAGAGTGACATCACTTCTGGTTCTTCCCTGCTCCCAAGACTTGCCAACCATAGCATGGCTGAACCATATGCCAACCAACTTCTGATATTCTGATAAGGCAAGACTGCACGGGAGCAGGGTGAAACCTAGTTTGTCTAAGCACAACAGAAATAAAACATAAAGATGCATATAATGTGGTACAGATAATTCTTAGCAAAAACTGAGGGCAAAGTTTCAGGGAGCAGCTTCCAAAAGATGGCTTGTTGAAGATTCACAAAAATTACAAACAGAATAACCAATGATTAACTACTTCCAGTCCAGCCCATGTATATAAACGGCCGGATGGGAGCAGTGCAGGGGCGGGTGGCCGTTTATAAATTTCCTCCCCGCTTCCCTGCCTGTGCGTGTTCTCGCTGTACGGGACCTCTGTGTGAGGTCCTGATCATGTGATCACGGATTGGCCAATCAGTGATCACATGAATAGTAGTAAGAAAGATGTCACTTCTGACATCATTGTTTACTACGTGTGAAATCTGTGAATGATCACAGAGGTCACATGGTACAGGGCTAGTCACAACAGCCTTGTACCATGTGACAACTGTGACTAATCACAGCTCACACAGTATTTCTCAATGGCTGCAAGAATGCAGCCAGAGAGAAGGAGAAATGATTGCTTTTACAGCCTTTATGGGTGTAAAAGCAATCAGTGTAAAAGAAAAAAAAAAAAAAATCTTCATCACCCCCCACAAGTAGCATAGTGTCACTATGGTGACACTGTACTGATAGGGTGACCGTATCTTAAAAAAAAAAGCAAATAATATAAAAAAAATAAAATAAAACTCAAATTTTTTGAGAAATTATAATTTTTGGTTATAAACTAATTTGGGTTATTTTATTTTTTTTACTAAAAAGGTAGGTGAATACATTTTGGCCAACATTTATGAAGAACAATTATTTATTTGCTAAATGTTTTAAGAAAAACACTTTTTTTCAAAATGTTTGGACTTTTTCATTTATATAACAAAAAAAATGGCAAATAAATACAACCAAAATAAAGTTTTATCCATCTAAAAAATGCTAAAAAATTCATATGGGTATAGTGTTGCATTACCATGCAATTGTCATTCAAAGTGTGATAGCACTGAAAGCTGAAAATTGGCCTGGACAGGAAGGGGGTGAAAGTGTTCAGACTTCAAGTGGTTAAGAAAGGAACATGTGTACAGCAGGTAAAAATGTTCAAAAAGAAAGCAGTGTGCACCCACTTTAAAAGACTACAGATATTTCATCTAAAATATATATATATAAAGAAAAAACAGTAAATAATACATACCGTATTTTTCGCTCCATAAGACGCACCTGACCATAAGGAGGAGAAAAACAAGAAAAAAAATATTCTGAACTAATGGACTGCAGACACAGTACAGGAGATGACCAGAGACTGCGGACACAGTACAGGAGATGACCAGAGACTGCGGACACAGTACAGGAGATGACCAGAGACTGCGGACATAGTACAGGAGATGACCAGAGACTGCAGACGGTACAGGGGATGACCAGAGACTGTGGACACGGTACAGGAGATGACCAGAGACTGCGGACACGGTACAGGAGATGACCAAGAGACTGCAGACGGTACAGGGGATGACCAAGAGACTGCGGACACAGTACAGGAGATGACCAAGAGACTGCGGACACGGTACAGGAGATGACCAGAGACTGCGGACACGGTACAGGGGATGACCAAGAGACTGCAGACGGTACAGGGGATGACCAAGAGACTGCAGACGGTACAGGGGATGACCAAGAGACTGCAGACGGTACAGGGGATGACCAAGAGGCTACAGACGGTACAGGGGATGACCAAGAGGCTACAGACGGTACATGGGATGACCAGAGACTGCAGATGGTACATGAGATGACCAGAGACTGCAGACGGTACAGGGATGACCTGAGACTGCAGACACAGTAAAGGAGATGACCAGTGACTGCGGACACAGTACAGGAGATGACCAGAGACTGCGGATACAGTACAGGAGATGACCAGAGACTGCAGACACAGTACAGGAGATGACCAAAGACTGCAGACACAGTACAGGAGATGACCTGAGACTGCAGACACAGTACAGGAGATGACCTGAGACTGCGGACACAGTACAGGAGATGACCTGAGACTGCGGACACAGTACAGAGATGACCTGAGACTGCGGACACAGTACAGGAGATGACCTGAGACTGCGGACACAGTACAGGAGATGACCTGAGACTGCGGACACAGTACAGGAGATGACCTGAGACTGCGGACACAGTACAGGAGATGACCTGAGACTGCGGACACAGTACAGGAGATGACCTGAGACTGCGGACACAGTACAGGAGATGACCTGAGACTGCGGACACAGTACAGGAGATGACCTGAGACTGCGGACACAGTACAGGAGATGACCAGAGACTGCGGACACAGTACAGGAGATGACCTGAGACTGCGGACACAGTACAGGAGATGACCTGAGACTGCGGACACAGTACAGGAGATGACCTGAGACTGCGGACACAGTACAGGAGATGACCTGAGACTGCGGACACAGTACAGGAGATGACCTGAGACTGCGGACACAGTACAGGAGATGACCTGAGACTGCGGACACAGTACAGGAGATGACCTGAGACTGCGGACACAGTACAGGAGATGACCTGAGACTGCGGACACAGTACAGGAGATGACCTGAGACTGCGGACACAGTACAGGAGATGACCTGAGACTGCGGACACAGTACAGGAGATGACCAGAGACTGCGGACACAGTACAGGAGATGACCAAGAGACTGCGGACACAGTACAGGAGATGACCAAGAGACTGCGACACAGTACAGGAGATGACCTGAGACTGCGGACACAGTACAGGAGATGACCTGAGACTGCAGGACACAGTACAGGAGATGACCTGAGACTGCAGACACAGTACAGGGATGACCTGAGACTGCAGACACAGTACAGGGATGACGAAGAGGCTGCAGACGGTACAGGGATGACCAAGAGGCTGCAGACGGTACATGGGATGACCAGAGACTGCAGACACCGTACCGGAGATGACCAGAGACTGCAGATGGTATAGGAGATGACCAGAGACTGCAGACGGTACAGGGGATGACCAAGGGACTGCGGACCTTTGGGAGGGAAGGGAAGCGGGCACCTGAATTTGACAGGTACCCGCTCCCACTTCCGCGGAGTTGTCCTCCCTTTAGTATGGGCACCCGCCTGGGACAGCCGGGTGCCCACACTAAAGATGCCGACGACGCAGGAAGACTGCACAGTGCTGGACCGAGGAACAGGTAAGGTCCTGCTGTAGAGAAGAGCTGAGCGGCCGGCTCGGTATTCTGACACGGTGGCGGCTGCGGAACTACCGACCGGCCGCTCCATATTCGCTCCATAAGACGCACTAACATTTTCCCCCCTTTTTTGGAAGGAGAAAAGTGTCATATGGAGCGAAAAATACATTATATACGGCAGAGAGAAAACCCTTCTCTATAGCTGGCTATATACCATACAATCCGACTGTCCAATCTCTGCACAATCCAACAGGTGTTTTTTGTAGCATCTTTCCATCTTATGCTACATGCATTCATGTTCTTTGCTGTTATTTAACAATGAAGTGTACATCTTTGTTTGTTGAGGGTAGATGACATACTTGGTTTTCTATACCTGCTAGGTGATTGTATGTATTGAATATGCCTAATACAAACTTATTGCTAAAGCAGTTTGGCTACGTGGTGTGCTTACTCTATTCATTAAAATAATTGCTTTAATGCCAAACTCATTAAACAGGAACTATTGTCTTTTTAATTGTTTGCACATATACAGTTGTGTTCAAAATAATAGCAGTCAGACATCACTAACCTGATCAATCACTGTTTTTGGTAGAAATGATATTTCTACATGGCAAATAATTTACTAGCAGGTGTAGTAGAGTAATAGAAATCCAACAGACCCAACAGTCATGACATGCATGCTGCTGATTCTGTGTAATTGAATCACTAATTTAAAGGGGCATGTTCAAAATAATAGCAGTGTGGAGTTCTATTAGTGAGGTCATTCATTCTTTGTAAAACAGGTGGCAATTATTGCCCTTATTTAAGGAAGGAAGGCAGCAAATGTTGTACATGCTGGTTACAGTGCATTTCTCTCTGAAATTCTGAGGAAAATGGGTCATTCAAGACATTGTTCAGAAGAACAGCGTACCTTGATTAAAAAGTTGATTGGAGAGGGGAAAACATATAAAGAAGTGCAGAAAATGATAGGCTGCTCAGCTAAAATGATCACAAATGCTTTAAAATGGCAACCAAAACCTGAAAGATGTGGAAGAAAGCGAAAAACTACCATTCGAATGGATAGAAGAATAGCCAAAATGGCAAGGACTCAGCCAACAATCAAAGAAGGTCTAAAGTTACCTGTGAGTACTGTTACAATTAGAAGATGCCTATGTGAAGCCAAGCTATCTGCAAGAAGCCCCCGCAAAGTCCCACTGTTGAAAAAAAGACATGTGCTGAAGAGATTACAATTTGCCAAAGAGCACATTGACTGGCCTAAAGAGAAATGGTGCAACATTTTGTGGACTGATGAAAGTAAGATTGTTTTTTTTGGGTCTAGTGGCCGGAGACAGTTTGTCAGACGACCCCCAAACACTGAATTCAAGCCACAGTACACTGTGAAGACAGTGAAGCATGGTTGCGCAAGCATCATGATATGGGGATGTTTCTCATACTACGGTGTTGGGCCTATTTATCGCATACCAGGGATCATGGATCAGTTTGAATACATCAGAATACTTGAAGAGGCCATGCTGCCTTATGCTGAAGAGGAAATGCCCTTGAAATGGGTGTTCCAACAAGACAATGAACCCAAACACACCAGTAAACGTGCAACATCTACAGTCAGGTCCATAAATATTGGGACATCGACACAATTCTAACATTTTTGGCTCTATACACCACCACAATGGATTTGAAATGAAACGAACAAGATGTGCTTTAACTGCAGACTATCAGCTTTAATTTGAGGGTATTTACATCCAAATCAGGTGAACGGTGTAGGAATTACAACAGTTTGCATATGTGCCTCCCACTTGTTAAGGGACCAAAAGTAATGGGACAATTGGCTTCTCAGCTGTTCCATGGCCAGATGTGTGTTATTCCCTCATTATCCCAATTACAATGAGCAGATAAAAGGTCCAGAGTTCATTTCAAGTGTTCTATTTGCATTTGGAATCTTTGCTGTCAACTCTCAAGATGAGATCCAAAGAGCTGTCACTATCAGTGAAGCAAGCCATCATTAGGCTAAAAAAAACAAAACAAACCCATCAGAGAGATAGCAAAAACATTAGGTGTGGTCAAAACAACTGTTTGGAACATTCTTAAAAAGAAGGAACGCACCAGTGAGCTCAGCAACACCAAAAGACCCAGAAGGCCACGGAAAACAACTGTGGTGAATGACCAAAGAATTCTTTCTCTGGTGAAGAAAACACCTTTCACAACAGTTGGCCAGATCAAGAACACTCTCCAGGGAGGTAGGTGTATGTGTGTCAAAGTCAACAATCAAGAGAAGACTTCACCAGAGTGAATACAGAGAGGGTTCACCACAAGATGTAAACCATTGGTGAGCCTCAAAAACAGGAAGGCCAGATTAGAGTTTGCCAAACGACATCTAAAAAAACCTTCACAGTTCTGGAACAACATCCTATGGATAGATGAGACCAAGATCAAGTTGTACCAGAGTGATGGGAAGAGAAGAGTATGGAGAAGGAAAGGAATTGCTCATGATCCTAAGCATACCACCTCATCAGTGAAGCATGGTGGTGGTAGTGTCATGACGTGGGTATGTATGGCTGCCAATGGAACTGGTTCTCTCTTATTTATTGATGATGTGACTGCTGACAAAAGCAGCAGGATAAATTCTGAAGTGTTTCTGGCAATATTATCTGCTCATATTCAGCCAAATGCTTCAGAACTCATTGGACGCCGCTTCACAGTGCAGATGGACAATGACCCAAAGCATACTGCAAAAGCAACCAAAGAGTTTTTTAAGGGAAAGAAGTGGAATGTTATGCAATGGCCAAGTCAATCACCTGAATCCGATTGAGCATGCATTTCACTTGCTGAAGACAAAACTGAAGGGAAAATGCCCCAAGAACAAGCAGGAACTGAAAACAGTTGCAGTAGAGGCCTGGCAGAGCATCACCAGGGATGAAACCCAGCGTCTGGTGATGTCTATGCGTTCCAGACTTCAGGCTGTAATTGACTGCAAAGGATTTGCAACCAAGTATTAAAAAGTGAAAGTTTGATTTATGATTATTATTCTGTTCCCAATACTTTTGGTCCCTTAACAAGTGGGAGGCACATATGCAAACTGTTGTAATTCCTACACCGTTCACCTGATTTGGATGTAAATACCCTCAAATTAAAGCTGACAGTCTGCAGTTAAAGCACATCTTGTTCGTTTCATTTCAAATCCATTGTGGTGGTGTATAGAGCCAAAAATTTTAGAATTGTGTCGATGTCCCAATATTTATGGTCCTGACTGTAGGTTCCTTCCAGACCAACAAGATTGACGTTATGGAGTGGCCAGCCCAATCCCCGGATCTTAATCCAATAGAAAACTTGTGGGGTGACATCAAAAATGCAGTTTCTGAGGCAAAACCAAGAAATAGAGAAGAACTATGGAATGTAGTCCAATCATCCTGGGCTGGAATACCTGTTCACAGGTGCCAGAAGTTGGTTGACTCCATGCAACACAGATGTACAGCAGTTCTCAGAAACAGTGCTTATACAACTAAATATTAATTAATGATTCAAAGGAAAGCAAAATCTTCAAACATTTTTCAGTTTATATAGTGAATGTTTGAGTTTGTAAAGAAGAATACAAACACTGCTATTTTTTTGAACAGTCTAATATTCACTTTTCTTCAATTTTTTTAGAGGAACAACACAAATTTTGATATATTTTTCTTCATGTTTTGATTTGGAATAGAATGTGTAGTGTTCCCAATGCATTTGTGTGTATGGAAATAAAAGCTATTAGAAGGATTTTGAGCTTTATTCACTTTTTTCAACACACTGCTATTATTTTGAACACAACTGTACATGTGAAATAGATTTGGTCTAATGCTGGGGTTTTTAAACTTTTTAAAGAAATTTTAGAGGGGCCAAATTGTGCCCAGTGGTAATAAACAATGCCCAATTGTCAATATTAGAGGGAGAAATAGTTTTTGTTGTGAGTGGATGGAATTCTGCCCCATCATCAGTGTCAGTGAAAAGAATAGTGCCCCATTTTTGTTGTCAGTGGAAGGAATTATTCCCCAACGTTGGTGTCAGTGGAAGGAACAGTTCCCTATTCTTGGTGTCAATGGCAGGAATAATGCCTCAAGGGCCGGATAAAGGCAAGCAAAGGGCCTCAGTTTGGAGACCACCGGTCTAATGTAAGTATTCTTAGTAGTTGTTAAGGCTGGGTTCACATCTATGTGGGTGCGGTACTCTGTGCGCTTTAGCCATTACCGTAGGTTCACACTACTGCAGACCGTGTGGCTCATGTTTGCTCGGGCATGGCAGCCCATTCATAAAAAATGGTGCTTGCACCTTTTTAAAAACGGAGCTGCAGAGTGTGGTTTTGCTGCGGTTCCTGCACCTGCAAATTTGCTGCGGGCTCAGATGCGTGGGGGTGCCATTCAGAATGAATGGCAGCCATGTGTGTCTCGTTAGAGCAGTGCAGTTTTGCTGTGGGTGATTGCGGGTGTGGGAACAGCTGCAATTCCTGCACCC